CAAGATGAATCAATGACATGAAAAGCGTTAACATGAAATTTACCTATGAGGTACATCAATACCACCATCGGCAACACCTTTCATAACGGCAAATATTTTAGCACCAGTAGTGGTTCTTGCCAGGCCAATATCCAAGACAGCACGGAAAGGTGCTCGTTCGCCTTCTTGTTCCACATTGTAATCCTCGCCATCGACCTCTTCAACACCTTTGTAGGTATCGGCCATCTCCAGCTTGGCCAGATGACGTCTGGCTAACAACAGACCGGTTGCGTATGCCGCTGCATAGTTCGTCAAACCAACCTGAAACGTTTACGTTTTCATTCGATTAACCCATAATACGCATAACACTTTCTAATCTGAAATGAAGATTCACTTGGGGGCTGTTTTTTTCCTCACGCACACAGCGGATTTCTTTTACTGGCAGCGTACATGCATCATAACAGCAGCACAATGTGAATATTTCGATTTCCTTTCCATACTCAGTCGTACACACAAATACTCACGCCTACTGAACATATTTCTCTTATTATTTTAGACAGCAAAACGAGTTGAATCTACAAGTTGCGTTACTCTAAGCCTTTCAGTACGTTTACAAAGTAGAAGCAAGTATTACAAGATGAATGAAACTGATTACTGTCCAATTTTCAAATTTTCTTTTCTGATGGATTTTTCTTGAACGCGGAACTTTATTGAAAATTAATATGCTTAGAGCACGAAATATTGGACAATTACAAAAAACACTCAAAAATTAAATTTCAAAGAAAAAACCTAACCAACCTTGATCCCGTAACGTGGCAATTCATGTGCATAAGCAGCGCAAACAACCACATCACCTACGATTCTTGAATAAGCAATCTGAAAATGTACAAAATTTAAAACTATTTTGTATAAATTTCAAAAAGTGGCGACAACGCAAGATATCCAAGCAAACTGCAGTCGATAAAGCTGATACGAACACTGCTGAATGTCATCGTAACCAAACTGAATTAGAGGAAATGATAAAAGTGTGTTTTAAAGGTGACCTGTGCAATGATATCCTTGTTGGTGAAACGTACGATCAATCTATACTTAGGTGTATTGTATTTGTTTTTGTCCTGAACCGTCAAACGCTTCCTTGCATAATAATCAGTTTTGCCTTCACGTCTACGCTTTAGTTTCACTTGATAACGCTTGAAATAAGCCTTGTTCTTCACCACCTT